TCGTGAGTATTGAAAGCCTGTGTAAAAGGTCACTAATTGTACTATATTTAGTTTAAAGTAGGAAGAGCGAAAGCTTCGTTGGAAACGAACTAAATCCCAAAACGGCTAGTGCACCGCAGCTCTCCCAGGTGTAAGCTAGTCCGACAATTGGTGGGGATTCTAAAGAGAGAAAGAAAATCTACGAGACTATGTACTACGCTTAAAACTAGGGTAATACGGGTTTTTCGAGCTAAGGTGCAACTCGGTTTGAAAACTTCCTCCTTTCATAGTTGAATTAAACATATCTCATCTCATATAGGTAGACCGCTGCCTATGGGTCATTCTTGTCGATAATGAGGCTAGTCAATTCAGAGCTAATCCTTAAGGGAATTTAAACCTCGTAAGGTGACCCACTAGTTTGTTTCAGCCGACAAACTTCTTCAAATAAAAAACGGCTATGGTAGTGACGAAAGAGCTAAAAGAAATTGGTAGCCTTTAAAGATACATGCTTTGCCTTTTTTTCTCAATTTTGTGAACGTCCCTCCCGAAATACGACTTATTGACTTCGTCTTGTTGTCGAAAAGATAGGACAAATCTTGATTTGCCCGGAAGTCATGTTCTGCACTTAACCTGTCTGCTGTCTGCTGTGACAACCCGGTAGCAAGTAGTGTTTCCTGCAGATTTTGAACGTATTCGTCGTATTTGTATTTTTTGTTACAAAAGCTTTTAAATATATGTGGATCCCACACTGGCCTTTTGTTATTTTGATAAAAGATCTTCCTATGTTTTGTCAGCGGTGAATCGAGTTTGACCGTATATTGACACTCGGTTGGTTCAAAATGATATTCCAATAATTCCTGCTGTGACAACTTGAAATATGGATCCCATTCGTTATTGGACGAGTGGCTATGAGGCTCTGAATTAATCACATTGAGCCATTTAGCACAAATGAGACAAATTGGCACTTGTAAGGTCATTCTCTTAGTGTTCTCGTGATATGTATGTGTGCTGTCGTAAGAAGAATTGTTTGATATAATATTTATATAAGAAGATGTTGATTCCTTAAAATGTTTTTCTGCTATATCTATAATTAAATCATGGGTTGGTTTTTTCCAATATGGTATTATCTGATCTTTATATGGCAATAAAGGTGGGTGGAAACATGAACCACCATATGTTTTGATGTCTTGAACATTGTAGTAAAAACTATTGGATGCATCAACCATTGATCTGATGTCAATATAGGATATACTGTTCTTGAGGATCCCATTTGCAGCTGCGATATTGTAAAGATGCTATAGATCATTGGAGTTTTTCCCATGGGTCCAAACCCACTGGAAATCACGACAGGCTGTTTGAGAGTTATTGCACAATAATTGATTTAATACAAACATATGCACTGCCTGAACTTTGGTTGTTGCTTTCATTGTGATATAATCAACATTATGAATTAGTAAGTATCCAGATGGTGGAATCTTAATAGAACTAATGGTCCAATCGTCTGTCGAATTTTTTAGGCCATGCCACTGAGCAATTTCTTGGTCCTTATATATTCAATAGAACCATATGGTAAGGATTTTGGTCCCTTACCTGCTGATTTTGGAACAATGAAAATGTCATCATCCCTATGTCGTGAAATACAGCCTGTTTCTTGAAGGTGGGATGCAGCATCTGTCCAGGTGTAGTGAAGCTGACCTTTTATGTTTACCATGTGTTTGCCTTCTGAAATATAAGCTTTGATTGATCTAGGTAAATTTATTCTGGTCATGACAATTGTAGAAGCAACAATCCCTGCATTAGGGTCTGGGGGACCAGTTTTCCAATTATTCTGGTTCTCCTTGTTAGTTCTTGCATGTTATATTGCATACCTTCACCTAGGACTTGAATGTTTTCAGAAATGTGTGGCAGTCTAGTTCAGTGTACCAACAGATGATTAGACTGTTGAGGGTTAACTAATGTTGGGAATTGTTTTTCAGCCCATTGCACATTGCAAATTGGGTCTATGTCATCATCCCTTCTATAGATTTGTGCTCTGAAACGTTTTGGGATTTGAGCTTTGTGTAGGTTAGAAATTATCATTGGTATTGTTTCTGGAGTTGCTGATAATAACAATATTTTCAGTGGTTTTGATGATTTGCTAAGAAGCTGATACAAATATGCCATTTGTGGGTCTTGTTCATGGTATTCGTCGAATAAAAAGCAATATTGGCTAGGATCAGACATAATTTGACTATGTAGCCTGATCTGCTGGTATGTCCCTATAACCATGTGTGGCTCTCCATAAGTAGGATGGGTTAATGAACTATCCTCAGGTGTAAGTATCTTATACTTCCCGCGCCATGCCGACTGATGGCCGGGTATTTTGATATTCCCTGCCATTGGACTCGTGTAATTATCACGATTAAATACTCTCGGCATACAAAGAATAAGCTGTAATTTTTGTGAAAAAGATAATCGGAAAAAATCGACGACGAATAGCGATAGACTCTCTGCATCGCTCCAATAACGATCGGAATAGGGGGGGATTCTGTCAGGATCGAGGCCTAAGTACGACATATTCCTCCGTGATTTCCGCTCAATTCTCCGATTCCGCAGCACACGAAAT